AACAGCGGGCCGACCGGGCCGAAGCAAAGACAAAGGAAGCAGCCTATCGCGTACCTTGGTTGCTGGCAGATTCGGCAGCTTCAGAATCTGGGAGCCGGTATTCCCGTGTGGGCCTGCGCAAAAATCCTAGGGAAAATCTTCAAACATCGCCCTGCATTGGAACTGAATTTTTCAGCTGCCGAATGGTTAAGCGCGGGGATATGGATCATCGCAATTCCACGCGAAGTGTCGCACCTCTATCGGCTTCTTTGCCGGGCCGGAGACCCCTCCCAAATAAACAAACACTGCAGCGAAGATACCCCTCTAAACCCTAAGCTTTCAAACTGCATGCCTTGTCCGTGAGACCAAACCCTAATTACACCCTACACGGCCCAAATCGAAGCCCCATGCAAATCATTGCCATCCAAACCGCAGCATCCAGCCGGTGCCTGCTCCTCCAGGGCTCATGACTGAAGGCTTCAAGTCCGGCCTACCAGCTTGAGACTATATAAACGGGGCATCATGGAGGGTGTTATTCTGCAGTAGAAGACTGGAGGTACAGAACAAAGAGGGCTTGGAAGTACATGGAGCATACGGAGTTTCAGGTACCACCCGGCCACGGCCGCATCACACTCAAGCCAGGGCTTCGGATGGCAAGTCCTAAAACCCCATTGGCCCTACTTATACCCGAAACCAGTCATGTGGGCAGTTCTCTAAGAATAACAGGGGTGACGCACTAGAAGGGCATGTAAAGAGGGACCCAACAGTAGAGAACTACCCAGACAGAATCCCTCCTCGCTCGTCCACTGTAGGTGGTCGGTCGTCCCACGCCCCCCCATAGCCGCCATAGCCACCATAGCCAGCACCAAGGCCATCATTCCTTACTGCAGTCATGGCTCCTGCGTTTGCCGGTGCTGTTGTTTCTTTTGCCTCCAGGTCACCACTTTTAATGTAGGGGCATTAACAGCTAAAGCAATAAATCCGCAGGAATACTACAGATAATTGTTTTTAAGGCGCCGATATTGACCTCGTTGAATTTGGTTGCCCGAGTCTTGTCACGAAACATTTTTCAAAAGAAGAAGGGATGTCCTGAACATTGATGCGTGTTTGGGGTTCCCTGTGTCAAGAGTGGCCGGAAACTTGCCCAATACTGTGTCGGGAGCGAGACGGGCTGCGCGCGGAACACCGCAAGAAAAGAGTCATGTCGAAAACCGTCTTGAGCTTGTCGACACGGTGGTTTGCTGCGATGTGTGGCCGTTCTACGTACAGGCGGGTCAACTAAAGAGCTTGCTGTAAGTTGTCGGCAGTCTCACCTCTCGCTCCTCAGCTCTTTTGCTTCACCGAAAGCTTTGCCTTCCTACATGACATGTTCTTACTACTCTAACTACCCGGAGCCCTATGCCGCAGCCTCTCGGGAGTGGCCTAGTACTCGCTACCAGAAGCCTCCCATTGCAGGCACAGCTGCACGTAGATTGGCTGGCCGATCACCTCGGCTGAGAAGCAAACAGGCTCGTCCAGGCCGGGGCCCATCCTGAAACCCAAACCGTAAGCTCTTCTCTTCGCCGCTTTTGGCCCGGCTCCGACATGCAAGCGAGACCTATTGCCTATTCCGGACCTTCTCAGCAGCTTGGCACTTAAACCGAGACTCTAAAACCAGGCGGTCCGGAGCCCTAAGCTGGACCTGAAGCCAAGGTCAAGAGACCTGGGTGGTGCCAATGGGCTGGCCCATCTGGATCCCATATCCTTTCAAGTTTCATAGCTTGCTTCGGTGCGTCTTAATGCCTAGGCGCTTTTACAAGTTGGAGAGTTGGAGTTGAAGGCTTACACGATGTCGGGGTTTACAGAGTTTAGGGGCATCTCAACCCTCGCTCAAACACAGCTTCAAACCTGAATGAAGCCATCAGAGTCATTAGGCCGAACCCACTCAGAACCTCTCAGCTGCTACTTTAGGCTTCTATCACTCCACAGCTTCCTTCGGGCTCCACAGGCTCGAGCCGATGCCTCGGAAGACTCCAGAAAAGCAGAGACCCTACTGGTGGATCCTAGGTCCTAGATGGCCTTGGAGAGAGTAGGATCCGGGATCCGAAAGAAAGAAGGCTAGGGAACCCCACGACATGCTCAAACTGAAGCCATCGCGGCTTCGACACACCAGGAGCCTGAAGACTTGCTCGTCTCTCCGGGCCTGGGCCTCCATTGCCCGGAGCGCCCGGGTTGTAGTTGCCCTGCACCACGGTGGCCTGGACAACCTCGCGGTGTATAGGCCTATAGGGTTCAGCATGTGAGTGTGCAATGTTTAGGATCGCTTCTAAGGGAAAAAGAGAGCTCACATCTATAAGTTCCGCTGGAAGGTTCGCGTTTCTTCTACCTGCAGGACTGCCAAAACTCTTCAAAGGCGCGTGAATATCACGCTGCTCGTAGGAAGTGGGTCTGAGATACATGGTCAGTGGGGACAGACCCGGAAGGTCTCGCACAGCCTGCCACACTGCACCGAACAACAAAGCGCGTGTGGACGGATAAGTGCCGTTCTCCAAAACGCAAGCCCGAAACCACCTAAAGATATCCAACCGACCATACATGAATGTGATGTATCGGCAGGGCACGGTGGGCAAGCGGGGCCAGCACAGTTAAGACAACACAAATGCTCCGCAGTCTCCGGACCCCTCTATGCATTTGTTTGGAGGAGTCGCATCGTGATTGAACCAAGACGAGGTGCTCTGTTGCCAGCATTACATTGGGCCATAGCGTGCCTGCGCCATGCTGTAGGTCTACTACGGCGGGTTTGGGGGGGTGGATCGGGAGGCGACTCTGGCAACCATCTCGGAGCCCCAAATTCTAAAGCCCTTGTCCCGGCCCGATAGACCTAAGCAAAAGGTATCAGGGTCAGAACTAATTATGTCCACAATTTTCACGGGCAGGCAGCATCCGAACCCCTGGTCAGTATGCAGAAACCTCGAATGTCTGTCGGTACCCGGCTGCAGTCTTTAATATAAGGGCCCCTATGTGAGGAGGTTGGAGCAAGCTAGAGAGGACGAGCGGGTGGTATATTCCATGCATCTCGGACTCCACCACTGGTACAATACTGTCCTTGCTTTCCAAGCCGTTGGAGCACCCCCTGGGCCAGGGCCTTATAGAACAAGTTCTTATATTGGCCAATATAATGCGGGCAAGGGATCTATAGCAAGAACTACTGTTAGACGCCGTTTTTCCTGAATCTGCCGACAACGTGAAGTTTAGAGTATATAAATATGTAGGACATTTTATGCATCCTGAAAGGCCTCCGGTGCCCAGGGGGCCGAAATTTGGACAATCAATCTCGAGCCAAACGCAGCAGTCGAAGGGCTGGTCACATGAGGGACAGGAGCAATGCAAGCGGCAGCGGTGCTGCTGATCTTTGCTGATAATGCTGCTGTTGGTATTTCAGTATTGGCTCTTGTGAGTCTGATGAAGAACTGCGGCTGCCCCAGAACGAGTGTACCTCTGTTGCTGCTAGCGGTCTTAATCCTAAGCTCTTGTTAGGCCAGCTGTCTACTTCTCAGCACTGCATACTTGCTTATGTGTATGTGTTTCCAAGGGTTGAAAAACCGAATTGTAACTACTGCTACTGCTACCCCTACAGCTGCTGAGCAGCCCCTGCCATTACCTATGCCACTGGCACAAGCACTACGACGACGATGGCTGCTACGGAGACGGCTACTGCTACTGCCACTACTGCCACTACTACTAGGTACTGCCACTGCCGCTGCCACTGCTGCCACTTGAAGCCCTGAGCCAAAAATGCCAGCTCCTCGACTTCCAGGGTTCTGCCGTCAACCTCGGCCTCCTTTGAGCCTGGGAGCTGACTGCGACGGTTGGGATCAAGTCGCTTTGACATCGAGGGCTCTTCCTAAAGAGCTCTTAAAGCGGCGCCTCAATCTTCGTGGTTTGCTTATAGCGTTTGGGGCTTCAGTACCCCGAGGCTGCGACCATTGCCGCCGGCTTCCTCTCGCTCCGCCTTCTCCTCACTTCGAAGAGATACCGGGGATACCGAGCCTCTACTATTCATGATGCACGGAAAATAAGCTGCAAGCGGCAAACAACAAACAACGATACTGTACCAATATGTATGTGTGTGTATTTATATGTACATACATACATACATACATACATGTGTATATATACATACACATGTGTATATGTGTGTGTGTGTGCCTTTGGCAGTCGGTGTAATTACTGGCAGAGTGAGGACAACAAGAACAACAGCGGCAACACCAAGAACAGCAATGACAAGGCTCGGCCCAAGCAAGAGATTACAACACATCCGCACAACAGAAAGTCTGCTTCATGGACTTTTGATCTACGAGGATGTTGCCCGGTCTCCCCGTAGCTCTCCACAGCTCAGCACAACTTCCCCACACCCACACACAGACTTGCCTTCTTTTTGGCTGCCACCCACTCTGCCTGCTTCGCTGCGTCCTGACAAAAGCAGATCCCAGCTCAAGCAAGACTCTTTTTGCAGCAGGCTTCGTTCGCCCGGAACTGCTTGTTTGACCCTAAACCCTAAACCCGCTTAACTTGCTTACACACCCAGGCCCTAAGAATGCATAAATCCAAAGAGCCGAGTTCACGCTCATCCTGCGAATGGTGGGCGATCCGGCTTGGTTTTGGGTGTTGTGTAGGGGTTTAGGGTTTAGGGCTTCAAGTTTAGGTTTCATGGTGCTCTGGAGTATCTGCTTGTGCATGCAAGAATTGAAGTCAAGCCCACCCCGGCGCAGGCACTTGTACGTCTGTACGGAGTAAGCGGACGTATGAGCAACAGTATCAAACACTTGTACACGAATACATCTGGTATGTTGTCAGAGCAGCACGCTTTCACATAAATTATGGTGAGACAACATGCTTCGAGCGTGTTCTCTTCGAGTACCGCCCCCTGCCGAGCTCGACGCGAGGGAGCTGACAACTGAGAAGTTTCATCACGGATTTTGCTGTCACGTTGCGATGTCTACGATCCGCAAGCTTTACAACCTGATCGGAATCCGGATCCCTCAGCACTTTTCAGCCAAAACAAACATGTCACATGTCTCCTCTCGAATCCACTCGGGCACGTTCTTCAGCGCCTGATGGTCCAAAGACGGGGTCATGCACTCCAATTACAGGTTTCCCTTCGCTCTACGATGCGTGGAGCGAATGGCTAGGATCGGCTAGGTCCAGGAGTTTAGCTATGGGTACTGCCGGGACCGTTGCCTTGTTTGCAAGGAGTCCCTTCTCGTCCGACAAGCGCTGGTAGCGAGCAAGCTTTCGCTGAGCCACGACCAACCTGGGAAGCTGCTCGCTTGCTCAACAAGGCGTGAGCTCATCCGGGGCCATAATGCACGAGGACTCCTGTGAGCTTGCTTTCTCGAGTGTTTCTGGAACACACGGGCTTGAATCAAAATGTGCATGAACATAGATACTCCTAGATACGAGTAATAACTTACCCTAAATACGATAACCGTCATGCATCCGACATGACGGTTTCGATCATGCTACTCTTAGACTCATCAACATGACCTCCACCACCATTACTACCAGCATCAATGTCCTATAGCATACAGTAGCATGCACAACAGAGAACAACAAAAACATGACCCGTACCATCACTAACATCAGGGACGGTGCAATGCCCAGTAACAAAACATTGTGAGGGGAAGGGGGAGGCTCTCGAGGATGGTGTGGCATGATGACAGCCGGGACGAGTGGCTCCCGCTGATTGGCCGCATTCCGGAGCTCGGCCATGGCATCCTCAGGGCTTTAGGGCTCTAGAAATGAAGGGCACCTGTCATGGCATCCAAGCATATGCAGCTCCTATCGAACACAAACTGTCACAGACCTCAGACCTCCGAATGCCTCGTCAATTAATTCAGTGCCAGAAAACTGGCTGATCTATCACGGTTGCCAACAAGTTCGCAAATTCATTCCGAAAAGTGTTCTCTGCATTCTTACTCCAATAGCCATGCGTCGAGTTCCGCACCACGCGACACTGCACCGAAACACAATACCTTCTCATAGAGGCTCCTGGCTCCAAGTGAAAGCTGTGGCTGAGGTGCCAATAATTAGAGCCAGAGCATTTGACACACAAGCGAATCATCATGAACTCACATGGAACCGAATATACGTTGTGTCAAGAAGTAGTTAAGTAGTTCTAGCGAGCAACACAGTTCAACCAGGCACCGCGCCATCTCTTCGACCGGGCGGGCGAGTCGTGCTGCAACTGCCTGTGCATGGCAACTGCAGGTCAAGCTCACCTGCCACACAGATCTCGCCCATTGCACGTCAAGCCCATGGGCCGAAACCTACAAGAAACTGCCTTGCAGCTTTATCGTTCATGCGCAGTGTCATACTGAGGTCCTGAATCCTTAAAAGCCCGAAGGCTTTTGAAGTACAAAGCTGCTAAGCCCTAAGCCCTACAGCACATCCTAACTGTACCTCCGACAATCCATTACAACCTCCAAAGGGAACCGAGCAGGCCTCTGAGCTCCGTTGTATTCGGGACTTCTGGACGTGGTTGCCCGCCTGTTCTAACCGAGAATGACATGGACTCTCGGGTGGCTTAGCTTAAGCTCGGCAATTTGAGGAGGAGGGCTCTGCTTTGACTCGAGTCCGCTTTGTCAGGGTTCGTCCGAGACTTCTCCCTGTCTTTATGTGAAGCAAGACACATGGCACGACACGGCACTGATACCGTCGGCGTGGATGCGGATGAAAGACCTTCTTTGGACACATGGCGGCTTCGTGAGAAAGTTCGGCCCGAATGCTCCTGGCATGCTCGTGCTTGCCCGGAAGGCCGTGCAAGCTGAAGTCACCCTGTGAAAGGAGTCGATATACAAGTATGTCGGAGACCTCCGGGTTTATTCAGCACACAACGGAAACCCACCGTCCCACCGTTCACTGATAATGATACTGCTCGCCGCAGAACAACATGACTGCAATCATCATCGGGCCTTGTAACGGTTTAGCTTGCAGCATTATTTTCTGTCGCTTGTCCCTATCACTGCTGCTATGCTCATATAAAAAAACTCAACATCACTTATCCATGTACTTCCCTTCATCTGTCGTCGTTGCCTTCCTAACGTGCCTGTCTCCAGGCTTCCAGTTCTCCAAACGGTAGATTGCGACTCATTTGTGTTGCCAAGCCAGTTGCCCGATATTTCGGTACCTGGAGCCCTAGGTCCCTAAACCCTATAATAAAGCTGCTTTTTTTGCCCCCAGACTCTGCCAATCAGTTCAGCTGCTTTAAACCCCAAGCTGTAGATGGGGCCCTCCCGGATGTGTAGCGACTAGCTCCCGTTGCACTGCACGGCGGCCTCGCCGGCCTCACGTTTCTTCTCCAACAGCTTCAGGCGCTCCTTCAGTCTGTGGAGCTTAGCTGCAGGTGGATGGGTGGGTTGGGGGGGGGTGGGTGGTTGGGTATACTCGCCACTGCTATTCTGCGTCGCCATTGCGAGCGAAAGACTGGAAATGATACTGCAATGGCAAGACTTTTGCCTGAAGGCTTAACGTGATGTGTGTGCTGAGCAACATGTCGCGCCTGACGCTTCTCAGAATTCGCGACAGCGGCTGTTCCCAAAAGCACCAAGTTGTGAGCTACATACACTTTACCAGTGCGAAGACAAGAGTGGTCCCGGGGCGCGCCTCTTCACGCACCAGCCAGTCCGGATACTGAATCCTGATGCATCGAGCAGTGTCGCCGTTTCAGATTCAAATCTGCCGAATCGGACCCCAAGACAGGGCTAGGTATAGAACAGCATTTATTGGGTTACATGTCTGCAAAGATTGGCTCAAAACCAGGGATGCCTAATCAGTTGCGGAGTGCTGTGCAAAGGTTCCTTGGACGACTTGGACCTAGCTGCTCATCCAGTTTGCATGTTCACTCGGCATGCTTGCCTTATCGCAGACATGGGGGGGCACTGCATGCATAGACTGACCAATGTTTCATAGCGTCATATACTGCAAGAAAACGTTAATGCGTCTCTTCCGAGGAGCATTCGGGTGCTACACGCATGCGTCAGAAACCAAACCAAAAGCAAACTTGGCGTCCGACCCCATGGCATGGCGTTCCGTGGATCCGTCGCTCCGCACATGCTCCACGGTGTGCCCTGCAAGGCGCAAGAGGCTAGGTTACTCACCTTCATGCTCCGGTAGCCAAGTACCTGTCGGATTACACGTCAACGCTGCTGCCTCCATTACTACAGCTAAAGCTTGAGTGAGCAAAATCTGCAATTGAGGGTCCGGCAGCCTTCTCCACAACGAAACCGCCCAACAATAGCTTCAACCCATCTCAAGCGAGATCCCCTCAGCCCTTGTCCCAAGACATGTGAGGCATCCGGCGTCCGGGCTTAATCCTTCAAGATCTATGCGCAGAGTAATACTCCGGTAGACCTAGTCCCCTGCTTTTTTGGGCACAACTCTTTCAGAGCGACCGAACATTCGCAGCGCCGTGCAAAATTCCTGGTCCGACATCCAACACCCACAGAAGGAGAGTCTCCACTCCTACTCAGACCTCAACTCTATTCCCGGCAGCAGAGTGCGACGAGTTTGAAGCAAGATCTGCTTCTCGGCCTGCTTTCGTCAGTTCTTCTGCAAGAACTTGACGGTTGTCCTCATAGCACCGAAAGCAAGGCTTATTTTCAAGCCGCACTGGCACTGACTTCTGCTTGTCCTCCTGCATGCAAGAAACCATGGAAGATCATGGAATAACAAAGTATCATCAGCCTATGTTGGTCAACATCCCCGTGACCTGATTCCCAACACTTGAAGTTGTAGGAAATCTTGAAACTGTAGGAACATGTTAGTGGGTTTGTGCAGAAAATTCGGGACCCCAAAAGAAGTCCTAAGTAGTAGGATCTTCAATCAAAGGACCCTCCAACAAGACATCCCCAAATGAGTTCTATGGCTATGTACCTTCTGACTCGTTTTTGGGCAGTAAACCCTATAACATCCCTCAACCCTCACCTCTGGTAAGGGGCCCTAAACCCTAAACCCTAAACCCTAAACCCTAAACCCAACCCTAAGGGCCTGTAAGGGGCTCACTGGCCCTGAAACCCCTGGGATGGCCATGGTCCCGGGCATGGCTCCACAACTCCTCACCTGGGCTGCCCGGAGCTCCAGAGCTCAGGGTTTCGACACACACACACACATACACACAAAAAAAAAAACTCGCAAAGCAGGCATGGCGTACGACGTCCGAGCTCAGGGTTTAGGGTTTAGGGCTCTGGTGCTGTTTGGTAAAATCCAGCAGTGGAGCATAGTGTGGGTCTGGTGTATAGATATGGTCCAGCCAAGGCAGTATAGATGGTACAGCTGGACAGACCGGACGGAATGCAACTGGAATTGTAGCGGCTGCTCTGGACGCTGGGTTCTTCGCACTCTTTGAGTGGCGCGGTATCTGCTAGTGTGCAATGCAGTAGAATTTCTCGCCTGCTGTTTCACAGAAGCCCTCAGTAATTAATTAGATGGTACGAGCCCGACTGCCAGGATCCTAAGTGAAACTCGCACTGGGCAGCTGGTGCAAGGACACGTAACTTTGTGGGCCCGAGTTCCTGACTTCCCATGAAGGCCGTTCGCTTCCTGACCACAGCAACTGGAAAGCTCTTTCACTGCAAGGTGGAGGCGGAGACTTATTGACTGAGTATGTATGCTGCTGTTCACCTTGGCAATCAACGGCTTCGAACATACCCTGCAAGCCCGATGGATAACTGCCTTTCGAATCTGTGTGCCCTCAGCACATGCACCCAGCGGATCAGCAATGGAAAGCAGGAACATGCTATCCCCAGTTTTTGTACACAATATCTACGACAAGCCTGATGCGGCTCAGGATGTCCGTAAACAACTGCAGCATGATCTTGACGATGGCAAACCATGGGAGGAAATTGGTCCAGTCATCCGGGTAGTGAAGCCAAGCCAAGGAACTTCGTAAAAGGTGTAAGGCACATGGTCCTGAGTTTATTTAAAATATGTATTGCAATGGACTCAAGTATAGCGGTCGCCGCAGTACTAATCACTACTTATCATCAGCAGCAAATACCAAGTTACTAAGTTGCACCGCTGTCTTACTGAGGGTTCAGGCACTCCCCTAACCCTAGAAGCCATGCTCTGCACTAGGCTAGACGGCTTTGGGCAACCTTCGACCCGACTTCATAAATGCCGTACACGGCATGCTCTCGTTCGGAATTCGCGCCATTTCTCTGGTGCTTGCCTGCATGGCCAACCATCAAAGACTTTAAGCTGCCCTGGCCGCTGTATCTGGCCCACCAGATCCATGAAAGACAAGCCGGCCAAAAACATCAGCTCTGACTCTGACAACAAACGAATCCAGCCTCTTCGCCTGCCAGGCCAGCTCAACCAAGGTGTGCCGGCCCTCGTCGCTCCTGGCAGACGGTCCACCAACTACGGGCAGCACTTCAATGGTCGGTGAGGTCTGCAACCACATAAATTCATAAGGTTGTGTCGGCCGCGTGGAGTCATGTCAGGCTGTAGAAAGAGCCTTTGGGCCGAAGAACCAAGCGTATGGAGTCATGCCAGGGGACGTTTTGCACAATGAAGCCTTCCTAAATGAATCCAGCCCATTGCGGCCTGATGTGGGCCAGCGTCCCGTAGGCAGCTTCCCGCCCCACCGGCATGGACTTGAAGAAGATGCCACGGGAGCGGCCTTGAATTTGATGGCGCTACGTGGAAGGGGGGGAAAGTGTGTGAAGACCTCATGTTGGACTGGAGTGAAATGTCTAAATGTGCGGAGGTACGGTGGATCCGTCACTATAAGCCTAAGCGATATGCTTCTCTACTTGATTCTGATCATTCTGTCACTGTTGCGACTGACAGTTGCACTTTGTTGGCATCGGTCCGATCTGATGAAGTGTCGAACGACTTAGTGGTACCGCAAATGTCCATCCTGAGAGCGTGGCACTGCATGCGGAGAGCTGAAACGGAGAAGCGCTGATGGCGAGAAAAGAGCTCCCCCCTGATCAAGTTAGGCACTCTCCCCTCCTGTACTTAGGGTTGAGGGTTAGGTAGGGTCCAAAGTACCTACATAATAAGATGTAAGCTGTGTATATGGGGAATCCTTATAATGATTTGGGAAAGTATCCCTCGTAACAGTACCTAGGACTCTTTGGGCTCCTGTACCCTGAAGCAACAATGCTGGTAGACGGAAGATGCATGCAATGCTGATGCCGTCCGACTGGTTTTCTGCCGGGCAGAACCAAATATTATTTGTGGCCGGGACCCTCTTAGGAACCCTGCCTGTGGTCGGTTGGCCGGATGTCGTAGAGGACCCTGCTGGAAATGATGCTTTGGGCATGGAGTCCGTGTGCTGTGGGTGGGGGGACCTTTAATATCCTTTAATCTGGGCATCTTGGGCAGCCGGAAACTTGTCTGGGGTTATATTTAGCTGTAGAAGTCGGGTGTGTGAGGGTCGTGAGACTACTTTTAGCACTTCGGTCTAGGATGCAGGCAAAACAGTCTGCTCACCAGAAAGATCACCGCATAAAGATGAGATGAAGCACAGCCATTCGGGCAATGCACTGAAGTCTTCGTCTATTCTCGAATGATATAAAATGGCAGGCATGCCTGCCGACGGGTGAAATGGGGTCTGAGTAGTAAGCCGCCGCAGACTCAGAAAGACTTATCCCTTTACTCGAAGGTAGAAGCATCGACTCCGAGGCCAGAATCCGAAGCACCGTGACTGCTCTTGCCCTTGAGGACATGCCAGAGGGTCGAGACAAGAAAGCAGAAACAAGGGGTGTGTTTCTCAGCCCGAGCTTCATGCCCACTTGCCGGCCCGCCTGCCTACAACCCCCCCCCCCCAAAACTGTGCGAACGTGGATGTCATGCTTCGTAACCCTGGGTCTACTCAACGAGAGCTCCGAGACTGGCTGTCCTCACAGAGTGGCATTGCAGCATTTCCCAGAAATCCTGCCGAGTAGACGAGAAGCGGATCAGGAAGATGCAGCTAATTTCTTTTCAGACTTCGTACTGAAGAAAGGCTTTCGAGACTTGAGTCTCGTCTTGATTGAGGTGGGTCCTTACAAACATGAATCCCCCATTGGGGTTAGACACTGCCCGTGCTTTGTGCTTATGGCAACCATGGTTTCTCTGGGTCAAACACTAAAAAGGCTCTTGGGGGAGCCAGAATACCAGCAGTAAGGGTAGCGGCGTTGTCTTGGCCCACCTTCTCCAGCATGTCACCATGGCCGACCTCCAAGTGGAGCCGTGGAAGGCTACTTCTTCTGGGGCATCAAGGAAAATAGGGGACCCTAATATGGTACCCTAAATAGTAGGGTCCTCATTATAACAAACCCCAAAATAAGGTACCCCTAATTTTCCAAAAAGACGCAACTGCATGCATGAACCAAAAGGAGGCTTTTTTTGTGAGTGTGGGGGCAATGACGTCTGGAAGTGGCTGACGGGAAGTGTGACACACTTACGCCGGGTGCCTGGGATGCCCCGGCTCGAGTTCCGGAAAAGGACAGCTCGGATGCCCGATCCATACCTATCTATATGTATGTATGTATGTATGTATGTATGTATGTAAATACATATATATATATATATATATTTTTTATATTTTTTTGTTTATCTACATACTTATTTATGCCTACATGTATACAAATGTGACACCCTCAAACCTACACCCCAAACCGTCGTTGTGTTTCCTGTCGAAGCAGAAGCCACACTAGGGCTGGTGCAGAGTAGATCGTGACCGGGTCCATCTTCCTTGGATGGATAAATCCGATACCACGCCGCAGGTCTATCTGAATTGTTTAATTCAGGAGGGCTCCAAGATGTGCTGACGCTCCTCATCTTGTTTTTGCTCATGCCTGTCCGCTTCGTCACCAGCATCATGATAACTATAGCCACCTGCAGCAGTATCATGACCATCATCAACATTAGCTTTCCTCATCCACGAGGTCGTTGCTTCATGCACGAGTGCTGTGACCAAGGTGGTCTGTCGAGTCTTTGGTTCTGAGAAGCTGTCGTGGCAAGTATCATAATAACAGTGACTGGGCACATAGAGCTCGTCACAGAGTACAGCGAAAAACATTTTAACCTGCACTTGCAACCCACAGCTCGTCTTCAACTGCACCGGATACGGAGACGAAGGTTACGTACCAAACCACGTGATTGTTGACTGTTGCTGTCAGAGGCATAATGTGTCTGTGTGTGTGTGTGTTTGTGTAGACAAATAACCAAGCAAACATGTCAGTAGAAAAATACAAGACAAATACCTTCTTCCAAAGAAACTGCTGCCAAGGCACTCAAGGCTGAGGTGCTCGCGGGAGAATGGCGAATGCATCAAGTCACCCTGCCCATTCCTCGGTAGAGCCCGTTAAAGAAACCCCCAAAGGAACCCTAACGAATAATATAGGTAATTCCTCACCCTAAACCCAAATTAAACCCTAGTAGGGCGACAGAGTCGCGAAGCACAGGCAGCCCAGTCACCAAGGCTCGCCCCTCAAACTCGAAAGGGGCTGTAAATCGAATTTCAGGGGAGGAGGGTGTAACTTGCATTTTCCCCTGCATGAAGCTGGGGCCATGCTTGCAACTGTCAAAGCTGTACTGCGCTGTTCTCAACTTACATACACAGCTACGCACATGCACATGCAACATATACAGCTGCATAATGCTGCATGCATACAGAAAGATCCGTCCGCGCAAGTGCAGCAGGATGCTGCATGGTTGCTCGTTCATATACAACTATGAGCTTGACTTGATCTTGGAATGCGCGTCTTAACAAACAGCATCCCCTCCACACAAACGTGTCCGTGTGTGCACGTGTGTAAGAAAGTATGCACGTATTTATATTTGTTGGACAAAGATTTGTATGCATGCAAGCATGTATGCATGTTTCGAAGCACCGCAGCAAGCATGCATGCGTGAATACATGCATGTGTGCTAACGAAAGCAGAGTCAATTTCCCACGCCCTCCCGAATCTCCAAATCCAAGTCACCACTTCTCTGCATCGTCCATGGTCAGCCTTGGAGACTTCGCTGCAGCATGGCGAATTTAGGTTTGCTGCATCTACATCCAAAGGCGCACGCATTTTCGATTGCCTGGTGACTGCATTCGAGCGAAACCGGACCGAACGAAAGACTTATCCACTCAATGACTGAAGCAACCTACCAAGAGCATCTATTTACGGCCACGTTTCCTCGCACTCGTTCACACATCAGAGGCAGTGCGAGCACAGGGCGGATGCTTCGAGCTCAGTCCGGAGACTTTGCAAAGAGTTGAACTGGTAAACCTTGAGCTATTATATTATACTATATTTTATTATGTTATATTATACTATATCATAATATACTGTATTATGTTATACTATATTATATAGACAGCAAGTGTCAGAGCAAGTCCAATACACCGCTGCGCACCCACATGCAAGCCCAGCGTGCCGTTCCAGTATGAATGCTTAGGAATTCTGGAACAAGCGACTTTTCCAAAAGTCCACCCAGGCACCTGACCTACCAAAGGCTGTACCGTTGCAACCGAGAGCAACTAGGCCTGCAGGAAAAACAGACCAAGCGTTATGGCCAGATTTGCCTTTATGCCCGATGCAGTTCTGCATAATTACTGAAACTTTGAAGGCCTGTTTGCCAACCCGGCTGGTCCCCTTGGCAGGACAATTGCGCTGATCCTACGGCAGGCTCTGAACGCTTAGGGTTTAAGGGTGTTTCTATGAGAGAGTCTGATCGAATAATTAACCTGAGCGCTGCACTTCCGAACTGCGGGCTTCTAGCCTAATATGTACTAGAATACAAAGATGTCCCAGAATGTAGATTGAGACGTAGTACTAGCCAATAGGAACATAACAATACAAAGCAACATTCATCCTATGACTCGACCTCTATTCCTACATAAAATGTCATTCATCCTTAGACTATACATGCATATATACATACTTACATACATACATACATACATGCATACATACATACAAACATGCATACAAACATGCATACATACATACATACATACATACATACATACATAAACACATACATACACATATACACTCACAAACACACACACACACGCGCACACACGCACATGCACGCACACACATGCGTACGTACATACGTACGTACATACATACATACATACATACATACATACACACGTACATACAAACATACATGCTTGCATACATACACATGCATACATGCATGCATACATACATGCATACATAGACACGTACATACATGCATGCATGCATACATGCGCACACACACACATACATACATACCTACATACATACATACATACCTACGCACATATATGCATGCATGCAAACATACATACATACATACATACATACATACATACATTTCATAAGTATGCAATTAATTTTCTCATTGGTTATAATTAGTTAATGAGTTGATATATATATATATACATATATATATATATATATATTCTCACACACATGTACGGTTAGAAAAGGCTATGTATGCATGTACAACGTATAAGACTATGTCACAACACGCAAGAAGATAAACAAAATGTATGATTGCAGCTCTTTCAGAGGCATTGCCCTCCCTGCCCAATGCAAATCGAACGGTTGACTCCCACGGTCAGATTCGGAAGCTGACTCAGATGGTCCACGAGCGTCCTGACAGCAGATTGCGCGCTACACAAGCTTTCGACCCAATAAAACCCTTGCGTCGACGCAGTAACATTCCCTTCATGTGGCAGAGTTGGTATCAAGGGAGGCCTGCTAAACCCTAGCGAGGAAAAAACGTAATTGGAGAATCAGCTGCTGGCTCTTGGAAATCTTTGTCGCTTCGGAAAGTCTCAGCCTCCTTGCTTTCATATTCCCAAAGCAAAGATCTGGCAATTAGCTGCCCAGATCAGCCTTGCAGTCGTCTAGCTAAGCAAGACCACCTCGATAGGGTTTAGGGCTTAGGGCTTAGGGCTTAGGGTTTAGGGCTTAGGGTTTAGGGTTTAGGGTCAATATAAAATTAGGAGTATGAGGGCTCTGACTCTATACAAAGCTCGGCGGCCATCAACCTGACAGATCCTTGAACCGCCCCTGGAAGCTTCCTGACCCGCTGGAGCTTCCTAAATCCCCTCTAATCCACGCTCTATGCCAAAAGCACCAAACCTAAACCCCTCAAAGAAACCCCAAAACCCACAGCTTCGGGATCTTCTGTAGAGCTCTAAACCCTAAAACCCTAAAACCCTAAACCCTAAAACCCTAACACCCTAAACCGCTGTAGAGCTCTAAGTAGCTGGCCTGTAGAGGCCATGATCTTGAGTCTCGTTGGCCAGCTTGGAGACTTCGTCCTTCATCTCGTGAAACCGCTCCTGGCTGAGACTCTCGGGCTTCGGGGGTTTAGGGTTTAGGGGTTTCGGGTTTCAGGGGTTCGGGTTTAGGGATTTCGGGTTTCAGGGCTTTTTTTTGGGTTTAGGGTTTCGGGTTCAGGGTGGGGGGTTTCGGTGCTAGGGGTTTTGCTCTGGGGTTGAGGGTTTCCTGCCTGGCCAGGTCCATTCATCCGTTCATATCCACATCCATTCATATCCACTCCACTTCAATACAGAGGGCTCGGGGTTTCGAAGCCCTAAATCTGGCTTCGGATCTGAATTCCCCACAGCTGTGAGCACAGGATAGCACAGGCACCAGTAGTCCCCAGAAAGCCGTTGAAAGGCCAAACGCACATAAATCCTGCAAGTTCGAAGGCCCGTGGCCCCCCTGCCGCGCTACGAAGTATGATGCATGACAGAGACCTTCGTAAACCTATTCACGATCCAGTGCCTGCTGACCCCCATCTTACAGACAGGCTCAGAGCCTAAACCTTTTGAGGCTCTAAACCCTGGGCCCTAAACCCGACACCCTTCCCCTCTTCGGCCCGAATCCAAAACTTCGACCCAGCCCCTATAATAATAATTACTATAATACTAATAATAATAATATTAATAATATTAATGATAATAATAGTACTAATAATAATAATAGTATTAATACTAATAATAATAATAATATACATATCCCCAAGGCCCAGCGTCGATCCACCACTCCACCGGCCCGAAGGGTCCCTCGGAGTGGTTCTGACGGGCATCCAGGGCCGCTTCCTTCACGGCCTTGGCGCACTTATTATTCTTACTACTACTATTCTTATTATTATTATTACTACTATTATTATTATTGTTATTGGTTATTCTTCTTCTTCTTATTATTATTGTTATTATTGTTATTGTTGTTATTATTATTGTT